CTCCTCCTCCTCCTTCTCCTCCTCCTCCTCTCCCTGCTCCTCCTCCTCTCCCTCCTCCTTCTTTTCCTCCTCCTCCTCCTCTCCCTCCTCCTCCTCCTCCTCCTCCTTCTCCTCCTCTTTCTTCTCCTCCTCCTCCTCCTTCTCTTTCTCCTCCTCCTCCTCCTCCTCCTCCTCTTCCTCCTCTTCCTCTGCTCCAGAGGGCAGAACAAGACAGGGGGTTTTGACAAGTAGAAGGAAGAGCTCTAGTGGTTGGAAGAATCCAACTGAAGAACAAACAGTCTTTCGAGTCCCTGCCCTGAGTTGATTGAGATCCTTGTGCTGATAACCTACAAGCTCTGAATGCTTGATTGTTTAAGCTTGGTGTTTGGAATCTCAGCCAGAGTCGTACTTCCATATTTTGGGTGGTTCACAAAATTAAAAGATGCGAGCCAAAGGCCCCAGTGTGCATTCTGGCACTGACCTCCCATAACGAGGGTGATTTTGGAGTGCTGGGCACTCTCCACACGGTAGCTGGAGAGGGTTCTGGCCGCTCTCCGGGGCCATGGTTTGGCACCCAGACTCCGGGCACGCATTTTTCAACGTGAGGAATCTACTGAATGTCTGCAAGAGGCATGAAAGGCAGCAAACCCTGTGGCACCTTGTGAATTGGCCATGTGATGGCCTGAGGTGAGCTGAGGGCACTAGCCTTAGACAGGTGGACAGCACCGAGCTAAAAAGGATTTCAAAATAACTAAATGGAGCCCATCAACCGATCAGGGATACAAGTGCAAGTCCTACCCTCAGGGGGTTATGATCTAGACGGAGCAAGAAGATAGGCATATAAATAACCAGCGGTAGAAGAGGAAGACTGTCAGGGTAGAGAAAAGGAACTGTCAGAGTTAAGGAGGCTAAGATTATGTTTGGCTTTGGAGGGGGATCTACTGTTTGCACTTAGGTACAACTGTTTCTTGAGCACCTACTATGTGCCAGGCTAGGATCGTATCAAGAAAGGCACAGAGGAGATGGCATGTGAGCCCTGAAGGATGAATATGTTATTGCTGCGACCACTGAGATGTGGAAGGATTCTGGGAGAGGAGGGGACGAAGGACAGGTTAGTAAAGAGACGTGACAAGGTCGCAAAGCTGAATCTAGAAGCTAGTGCCCTGAGTGCCAGGATGGCCATCTGAGTAATGGGTGGCAGCAGACCCTCCCCCTCTTCCTCTCCGTTCCCCTCCCCCTTCCACTTCTTGTAGGACCTGGAGTCTGATCCCCCAGGTTCAAATACTGGCTCTACTCCTCACCAGCAGTAGGACCTTGGGCAAATCGCTTAATGCTTCTGTGCGTCAGCTTCCGCCTCTGTAGGATGAGAAGACTGGATTGTTGTGAGGTTTCGATGAGCTGATCTATGTCAGTTGCTTAGAAGGGTACCTGGCTAAGGGTTAGCTCTGATGGATATTGTCAGAATCAGTATAGGAACAAGAAATTTTTGAGCGTGGTCCTTGAGTCTTGGGCTCAGAGGAGAAAGCATAGGTGGTGACAAAGCATGCATTTTATTCCTACAAGGAGATGCAGGACCCACCCCCCCCCCCCCCCCCCGCCCTGCCATGAGGAGAAGGCAGGAGGAGGGGATAAGAGACTACAGAGTGTGAAACAACTGTGAGCCCCCTTTTTTTTTTCAGGGTTGAGAAAACTGGGGCCAGGCAGGAATTGAGCCACGGCAGGTGCCTGAGCTCAAGTGTAGAACTCTTCCTACCAGGCTGTACCTCCGTTTATTCACAGGGAGGAGAAGGGGGCACAAGGCTTAGCTCTGGGGCACAGCTTCCCTGCACAGAGCAGTGGAGTGATGCCATATGACAAGTCCTGCCGCTCTACCTCCAAAATGCCTCTCAAGTCCTTCTCTCCATCTGGTTGGCCGCCTTGCTTTGTGCCTGGGCGACAGCCATCACCTCCGAACGGGTCACCCACATTCACTCCTCACCCCCGCCATCTCATCTCCGGTGACCTTCTTCAGTTGCCTGCAAGACCCTGTCCCTCCCCTGCCCAAAACCCTTCCAGGGCAGAATCCCCAGTAGGCCCCAGCAAGGTCTGGCTTCCGGTGACTTCTCTGCCACTTTCTTGCACATTTAAATGCCTCCTTTTTTCCTCACCGTCTTTGTGTATCTTTTCACTCTTGTCTGGAACACTCTTCCCACATCCCCTTCACCTGGACTCCATTTATCCTTCAGATCTCAGCTCAAACATTCCCACCTCCTCCAGGAAGCCTTCCAGGTCTTCCTGTTAACTGCTTGGAGTACATATGCCTTTTTTTTTTTTTTTTTCAATAGCTTGGAGTTTGAGGTCATGTAGCCGTGTGATTGCCTGAATAGGGTGTGCCTTCCCTGCTAGCTTGAGTGTAGCACAAGGACACATGGACATAGGTCTTGTGTCTGTGTTAGCCAGTGCTGTGTGCCCAGTACTCGGCATGTAATTATGCTCAGCAAGTATCTGCTGAATGACTAGAGATGGCTCAATGCAGGAGTCATGTATTCCCTGGCCCAGCCTTGTAGGTCCCTACAGACCAACTCACTGCCTCCACTAGCTTCAGAGATGGAACCCCTCCCTCAGTGAGGCCACCTCTAGCCAATGGAGAGGTGTCACCTTTTTCTTATTTTTTTTTATGAAGATTTGAGAGACTCCAGTAACCTCTTTCCCACCCCTTGCTCTGAACAACCCTGAAGGGACTGCCACTGAAAATACCCAGTCCCTCGATACCTTTGGCTGTACCTCAAAGAAAAGTAGAAACCTAGGAGTAGACAAAACCCAGGCTCTCAGCTCAGCCGGGGGGCATCAATGGTAATGATTGCAAAATAGCTTTTCTCGGAATTAAAAGTAACATGATATGTTTTTATTTCTCATTTGCTTTCAGCCCCGAAGGCTCTTTCTTGTGGATATATCACTCAAAGTAAGTGCTTTGAATTCTAGAGATGTATGGGATGTCTCCCGTGTGCACCCTGGCACCCCCTACAGCCCGTTTTTAGCACCGCGGCAAGTAGGGGAGCTCCGGTCAAGGGCAGAGGGGAAGGGTGGTTTCCCAGGGATCTGGACCACCTGCCTCCAATTCCCTAGGCAGGCCTTTATACAAGAACTGTGACTTGTGTTTTGCCCTTGATTCTCATCATGGGTTTAAGTGGTGTCATTTGGAGAACGTTCTGCCTTGCTGATGAAAAGAATCAGGATAGATATTTTTCATTATGCTGCCCAGTATGTGTTCTATAAAGACCCTTGCAAGAAATTCCTTTGAGACAAAGGACCAGGAAAGAAGTTAAGGTCTCCCGATGAACTAGTATTTATTATTATTATTATTGCCAAAGGCAGCGAGAACTATGTAAGCCTTCTTTTTGTTTTTTTTTTTTTGGGAGAGAGAGAGACAGAGAGTATAAGTGAGGGGCAGGGAGAGAATCCCACAGTACGATGTGAGGGGCAGAGAGAGAATCCCAGGAGGGGCAGGGAGAAGAGAGAGAGAGAGAGAGAGAGATTGAAGGAGAAGTGGGGCTCACCTGAAGCGGGGCTCAAGCATACCCGATGCGGGACTCAAACTCACGAACCGTGAGATCATGACCTGAGTCGAAGTCAGATGCCTAACGACTGAGCCACTCAGAGCCCAAGCCTTCATTTCTCGATCTTTGGCTTGGCTGCCAGGAAGCTCAGAGCAAAGTCTTGTGCTTAACTGCTTATACTTTTGTCAGCCTTCATTTCTGATATAATTTATTCTCTGGTGTTAAATCCTGGCTTTTGCACTTACATTCTGTGGGATCTTAGCAATTTGCCCAACCCCACTTGGCCAAATTCTCAGCTATAAAATGAACATAAAGATGAAACCTTTACTCTCACGAGTAGTTGGGAGTGACCAGGCTCATATGAAAATACCTACACAAGTAAGTAAATATTTCTCTTTCTGTTCCCTTTTGTTTATTAAGTCTTCTGTTGTCTCCCTGCGTATGGTGACCACTCCTTTTTAATAGTCAAGCATCTGACACACCTCCTGAAAGTAGATGAGCTTTAAAACAGGTTTCTTTTTTTTTTTTTTTTAATGTTTATTTATTTTGGGGTGGGGAGGGGCAGAGAGAGAGGGAGACACAGGATCTGAAGCAGGCTCCAGGCTCCGAGCTGTCAGCACAGAGCCCGTCGCGGGCCTCGAACTCACGAACCGCGAGACTATGACCTGAGCTTAACTGACTGAGCCACCCAGGTGCCCCTAAAACATGTTTCTTAATATTATTAAGCCTGTTCGTGGCTCTCTGTCTTATTTGTCCAACCACAGGCCACTGCACCCCTGCCTTCCCCCTCTTTCCCCTTCTCCAGAAAGTCCCCTCCCTGGAGAGACTCTCACAATGAGAGAGTCTGGAAATTTCCACATGTGGGTGGTGAGGGTGGCTTCTGATTACAGTTTCCTGAGTTTCTGCTTCAGAGACCCTCAGATTTCCTGAGGCTGTCACTGCTGACCTTTGTAGCAACTTGAATTCTAGTTTAGCAAAAGAGATCATTCTTGGAAATATACACTGGTCTTTTTTTTTTTTTTTTTTTTAATTAAGATCACAACTTTTTACAGCAATTTTCAACTTTGATAAAGCTCTTTGATGTATGCTATTTCATTTATTTTTCAAAGCCACCTCCATGTTCGGTTTATTATCACTGTGATTGTCACCATCCTTATTATTATCACATATCTGACTCTTCAGAGGAAAAAACCGAGATTCCGTGAGGGGAAAGGTCCGTCACAGTTACGCCACGAGTTAGTGGCAGACCCATGTCCCAGGCTTATGTATCAGTGTTCCCCGACTTGTTATTTCCTCTTGCCTCCTCTCTCCCTGCCGGGGCTCCCTGGATGAGCTGAGCACCAGGGGCTGCACCACGGAGGAGAGGTCCAGGCGCTATTGGGGTATCTTTCCCTCATTCATCTAGAGAAGCTTGACTTCTTTTCTTCTTCTTTTTTTTTAGTGTTTATTTTAATTCCAGTTAGTTAACAGACAGTGTTATATTTGTTTCAGGTGTACAATATAGTGGCTCAACACTTCCATTCATCACCCGGTAGAGAATAGCTTCACTCCTGTTTTATGAACTGAAGTTCTGTTTTCTGAACTGAAAGAAAGAGAGGGAGAGAGAGAAACCAACAAACAAACAAAAGAGAGAAAAGAAGAAAGAGAGGGAGAAAGAAAGAAACAGAAAGAAAGAAAGAAAGAAAGAAAGAAAGAAAGAAAGAAAAGAAAGAAAGAAAAGAAAGAAAGAGAAAGAAAGAAGGAAGGAAATTTAAGTAATTTTCTGCCATGAAGAGTTTGGAAACCCCACCCCACCCCCACCCTGCCTCCACCCAGTCTGGGACTGCCTCATCCTCTAAAAATGTTTGTCATCTCTTTCATTTCTTAGAAACCCAGAGGTGGGTGATAGCAGCACGCAGAAGGGCTGGTGGTTTCCAAGCTGGTTTAACAATAGGTAAGGTGATGGATGGGGTGACCCTCTGTGTTTGTCCACCCACCTGACGCTTACAGAGTCAAAACAAAATGGTCTCATGGTCATGACCTTCACGGTCACTCGTCTTTTTGGCCTGTTGAAGTCATACAAGGAATCTATTCCCTGGTTGGGACGAGTATATTGAAGCTTGGGGGTTATGGTCACGTTTGTCCATTTAATTCGGGGGTGAGTGGGGCTTGGGCTGAAGTTTCGGCTGCGGGAAAGACGATCACAGGAGGACTGTTCCAGCAAGTTCCCTTGCCCCCTGAAATAACCTGAAGGTTCTAGGTCACTAAATTGCTAACTGCACTGACTCGGAAGAAAAACAGAAAAGGGGAGACCTGAGCCTGTTCACCAACAGTGTGTGTTTACGAATAAACATTTCGTATCATGAAGCTTTCTCCAGACATTTTTTCACTGCCCATGTTCTCCGCCTCGGAGCGCGTTTTCACGAGCCATTCGCGGGCTGTCTCGACGCCATAGATCCACCTCTGTCTCACTCTGCTTGCTTTCCCTTTGTACGTAGGACCCACAGTTACCCAGAAGAGGAAGCCGTAGACAAGGGAGATGAACAAAGAAAGGAAAACAGTGAAGAACTTCAGCTGTCAGACTGGTTTAATCCACAGTAAGAAAAGAAGCGTCTCGCCACGTGCAATAAATCCATTAGCCCCCGTCGGAGGTGGTGGGGACTGTGTAGGCAACAATGCCATTGAGAACATTCCTGATTGGGGATACAGAGTCTTAGCATCTGTCAGACGTTCACCATAGATTAGATGAGAATCCCAGAGTCTGGATGTTTTGACTCAGATGCTTGAGCAGAGGCACAGTGATTCTGACAGCAGTTGTCGGAAGGCGGCAGCTGAATCACAAAATCCTGAGGCTGGAAAGGGTCTCACTGACCACGAGGTGTTGTGGAAAACAGCATGTAGGGTCGGAGCAGGAGAATCCTCTCTGAGACTCAGCTAACTCATCTGAAAACATGGCAATGATGATGAAAACTCTCATGGGGCCGTGCATGCATCATTAGGCGATCATACGACAAATGTTTATCAAACACCTATGATCTGCCAGCTGGCATTTTTGAAACTACCAGTCACTATCCATTAATATGTTCAGGAAACTAGCTTCATGGGACAAAATGGGCTTTTTAAAAAAAAAAAAATTGAAACCAAGTAGAAAATCAGAGGGCATCACATGAAGTGGAAGGATAAACACTGTTTGGTTGAATTACTGTTTCTGTATATATGTGTATGTGCATGCATTTTGTTGCGATGTAAAATGCATTTCCCACTGGGAGTCGTGGTCAAAAATGCTGTACTAGATGTCGTGTGAGGCACAGGAGATAGGAGGAATCAGTCCATAAGGTTATGTTCAAGAAGTTCCTGGTCTTGTAGGGGCAGGAGACATGCAAGTAGTATTTGCCAAAACCGGGAAGGAGGCGTGGTTGATTGGACTTAGAAGAATGCGTCTGGGGAGTACAGAGGCGGGAGCTGTCCAGGATCATCAGATGACCTTGAAGCCTGAGAGACTTGTGGGGGGTGGTGCCATTGACCAGGATAGGGACCGGAGGAAGACAGCCAGGTCTAGGGGTCGGAGCAGGGGATGAGCTCTACGAGGGATGTATGTGGGTTCAGGTACTTGTGGGGCGTTGGGACAGAAATTCACAGAGTGCCTGTCTTAGTCTCTTCGGGCTGTTATAACAAAACACCACAAACTGGATGGCTTATAAACAACAGAAATGTATTTCTCAGAGTTCTGGAGGCTGGGAAGTCCACGATCAAAGCACCAGCAGCTCTGGTGACTGGTGAGAGCCCACTTCCTGGGTCACAGACAGCCATCTCCTCTGTCCTCCCACAGTGGAAGGGGCGGGGAGCTCTCTGAGACCTCTTTCGTAAGGGCACTAATTCCATTAGTGAGGGCTCCACCCCCATGAACGAAGCACCTCCCAAAGACCCCACCTCCAAATACCATCACACCCGGGATTGGGTTTCAACGTAGGAATTCTGGAGGGCGGGCACAGATGGTCAGTCTATAGCAGTGCCCTTGAGCTCCTTGGAAAATGTGTGGTAGAGATGTGGGGTGAAGAGCCATCAGAGTGAGGGGGTCATCCAAGCAGGGGACTAGAATCACATCCTGATGTCAGCACTTAAGGGGCCAGTGAAAGAAGAGGAGTCTGAAAGGGGGCAGGAGGAGCTATAGAGGAGGAGGACAGGGAGAGAATAGCAACTATTCTGGTAAGAGGGGAGTGAGCTCTGGAAAGACTGAGTATGTTCTGGAAAGGTCTCTTTTTGTTTGGGGGGAGGGGGGTCACACTAGTGTGGAAGGATGGGAATTTTGCCCTCCCCCCACAACCCCCCACCCATGTGTCATTCAATGGGCTAGGCACCCAGGGTGGCCATCTGTGAGATGCTAAACCATTACTGGAAACACAAAAACATGGAGGCATTGTCGCTTTGATGAGCCCCTTAATGTGTGTGTGTTTGGGGCAGGGGGACAGGGAGACCTCCACCAAAAGGTGGGCCAGATGAGCAAGAGGTAGTCGCCAAGCTCCTTTCTCAGGAGGCTGGTATACTTTAACCGTGGCATTTGTGCTCCGGGAGCGGGGAGCGGGACTTGGGAGGCGGGGTGAGGGCTGAGACAAAGAGGAGAGCCCAATCGTGGCCACCAGCTGTCACTCCCCACTCTCCCCCGTGCATGGCTCAGCTTTTCCTCCACACAAATGGTGAGCAGATACTTAAAGACTATTGGTTTGAAGAGACTCCAAATTTAAGCCTTCCCAGGGCACCAAAGTATATTTCTTAGATGAGTGAACGATTAGATACACAATTGAATGAACAAATAAATATATCCATATAAATGTATCCTCTCATGTAGACGACCTACAATACATTACCAGGTATCGTGCACACATTTCCACATCAAGCTCTCTTAGCTTCTGTGACAACACATCCTCTGACTTTCCCTCCTCCTTCTCTATTCTCCCTTCTTGGTCTCCTCCATAAGGGCCTCTCCCTCGTCATATAGTAGAGTTTCTGGAGACGACATCCAGTATTCTCCGTCTCTTTTCTTTATACACCATCTTCCACTGTGCTCTCATCGATTTCCATGGCCGTAGACACCGGGGCGTGTGACTCTCCACATTCTGATCTTCAGCCCGAAGATTTCCTGAGCCCTGACTTGGATCTAACTGCCCGCCTGACATCTCTGTACACGTCTCCCGTGACCCAAATGGGTTTCCGCGTTCTACCCCACCCTTGTCCTCATTTCGCACCTCAAGCCAGAGTCCGGAATACCTCTCTGGTTCATCCTTTTCCTCCACCCACCCCACAGTCTAATTGATTAATGTGTTCTGTTAATCCTTCCTCCAAAGTCCTTCCCACATCGGCTCCTTCTCTGCATTCCACAGCCCCACCCTCCTTCCATCGGCTCTTTGCCGGCTCATCCCCTGGCATGCCGATGCCTATCGAGAGTTCAGTAAAGAACACGCTGAACACATCTTTTTTGACCTGGTTCATGTTGATAGAAGTTTAACGCTTTCTCTACCCGACGCTTGGGGCCCATCCTGTACCCGTTAATAAGTACGTAAGATTCAAAAGCTAGCAGTGACCTCGGTAGGTGTGTGTTTTGGTGATAGAGGCCGTTTTATTCCGTGGAAGCCTTTGCCCTATAGTGGAGTCACACAGGCTGACGCGGTGGGTGTCGTGCGTGGAAGAAAGGCGTTTGGGCAGCTCGGAGTCTGTCCTGGCACCTTTCCTTCTTTCTAGAGCCCCATCTTTGTGACTTTGGACGCTTCTGGCACTTGATGGTAGCAAGGACTCGCTCTCACGTGTGGGTGGCCTGCCCTGTGTCACTTCGTTTGCAGGAGGCAGTGGGTGATGTTGCTGACTGAGCCTCCTTGGGACAGAGGCTCATCCCAGCTGATCTGGTGCTCAGCCTCGCTCCTCCCCTGCCCCCCCTGCCTGCGTTTTCAGGCTGTCATCTGGCTCCTTAGGGTCAATGACATGTGGGGACTGCCAGTGAGACTTAATAATTAACAGCTGGGCAATAGAACATTTTAATTTTGAAGTAAACATTAATTTTTAATATCGCTACCTTTTTTTTTTTTTTTTTTTTTCCCTGCTGGAAGGAATCTTCCCGGCCAAGCAAACCCAAGTGGGTACTGCTTTTCTGACTCAGTCTTTCTAGAAGATGTGGACTGAGCGGTGGGGCTGTTGCATAGCAGGCTGGCCACCGGTTGGGACTGTGAGATTCTCCAGGGGTCGGACGGGGCCTCCTTTCTCCCGTCATGCTCCGCAGCCAGTCTGGTGTGCACGACAGCGACTTAGTAGCCATGCGGTGAGAGGCCTTGAGTGCCCTGGTCTGGCCCTTCTATAAATCAAATGGCTGAAGGTGCAGCTCCCTTCTGTTCGCCTCCCCCTGCTTTCTTTATTTGTAAAATGGGGGTGAGGATAGCATCCACTTTATAAGGTGAATGTGAGGGTTAAGTGAGAGAGTGAAAGTCTGGTACTGAGCCCCCGTGCACCATGAATATTAAATAAGTACATCTGGTCAGCTGCTGCTTTCCTTGAGAGACAGAGTGAGAAAAGCAGGGGAGGGGCAGAGAGAGAGGGAGACACAGAATCTGAAGCAGCCTCCAGGCCCTGAGCTGTCAGCACAGAGCCTGATGTGGCGCTTAAACCCACAAACCATGAGATCATGACCTGAGCTGAAGTCGGTCGCTTAACCGACTGAGCCACCCCGGCACCCTGTTTTTTGTTTTTTGTTTTTTAATAGTATTACCCGCTTACAACGTGTCCAGCTCATACACAGCTGTAAGACTTAGCTAGCGGGCTGGGTCAGAACTGCTTAAGTATCCTCAACGGGCTAAAACTAAGGACGACAATGAATGAGGCAGTGATACAGGGGAGAATTTAAGTTCAGAAACGTTGGTTATAGATGTGTAAGTCATGCGTGCGTGTGTGTGTGTGTGTATGTGTATGTGTGGTGTTTTGTGGTTTGAAATCCTGCCATTCAACAAAGCGGTGGGGGGGGGGGTTATATGACTAAAAACATAACAAAACAGAAGCTCGCTCTTTCTCATTGCACACTGGTAAGAATGCCAGAGTCGCTAAGTTCAGTGAAACCTTAGCTTAAAGTTAAAACATGACATACGTGGGTTTTACCCCCAGCTTCGTCAGCACAGGGAGTAAGTGTCCATAGAAGCCGCAATGTAGGGTGATAGCTCAGACCATGGACTCCAGAGTGGGACCACCTGGGTTCCAAAACCGGCTTTGCCCCTTACTAGCTGTGTGACTTTGGACAAGTTCATTAACCTCTCTGTGCCACTCATGGATAAAATGGGGATCAGCATAGCACCTCTGGAGGGCGACGCCCTTAGCACGACGGTGCCTGCTCTCACAGGAAGTGCTCAGCGGATCTTAGTTACCATCAGCGGCAGCCAGCTGTGTGACCTTGGACCAGCCTTGGTTTTCTTACCTGCACAATGGACATATGTGGCAGGACCGTTGCAAGCACTAAACGAGAAAGTGTAGGTGAAGGTGCTTTCATTTCACGATTGAAGGAAACCAAGAGCAGCTGTTCTCTGTGCAGCCAGCACACGTGGGGTGCGAGGGCCGAGCCGAGACTGCAGACAGATGGGGGAGGGCCGGGACAGCAGCCTCGGAGCGCCCCCCTCCCACCTCTGGGGGCGATTCAGCTGTGCAGGAGGAGGGAGGAGGCCGGAAGCGGGGCACGGGCTCCAGAAGGGAGGGATTATCATCTAGAATTAGAGCGAAGAGCTTGGTGACAGATGGACAGGAGGAGGAGTTTCCCGAGGCTCTTTTCCACTCTGGGGCCGGGGCTGGGGCCAGATGGGGGTCGACCCAGCCTTGCCCAACCTCACTGTGGAAACCCCAGCTTTGCTGAGGCGATAGGAGCAGTTTTGTGCAAACCCTCCCCCCACTGATGTGCAGGACTGGGGCGGGCGGGGTGGGGGGAGTTCTCATCGCTCCATCGATTTGCTGACATCTCCCCAACAGCCTCGCCAGGGCCACATGCATGCTGCCAGCAGGGACCCAGCAGGGACCAGCAGGACTTTGCCCCAGTCACTGGCCATCTCCCCTCGGTGGATGAAGTATAAGCAAATGCCTAACAGGGACGGGCGGGACGGGCCGTTCGCACTGGGGATCGAGTCTCATGACTGTGTTGCAGTCTCTGCCTCCCAGCAGGGGAAATGCAGCCACTTCCTGAGCAAATGGGGGTCAGAGCTGAGTCTGTGTCACCCCCTCCCGCTGAGCCCCAGCGGCTACTCAGCCTTTCCGCGTGTCTACCCTCTGCAGTCGGTCAGTTTGCTGATGCTCTTGTGTTGCTTCCTGTGTTTTTTTATTGGCTTTGCCAAGTCCCTTGCAAGCATTCTGAGTGCAGAAAATATGCCTCTCCTTCCCCCCCACCCCCACCCTGCTCTCCTACCAAAGAGGCAATGTGGTCTGAGCAGAGGGTCTGTGCTAGAGCCCCATGTTCTGGCCTTGGCCTTGGGGGCCCTCTGTTGAATCCCTTCTATTCGGGGTGACTCTGACTCCTTGTTTGTAAAACGAATGATAACACCGGAATCCCCTTCAATCTGGGGCCCTTTCTGGCCTATCACCAAGTTTTTACCCAGAAATCCCTTTCTGGCAAAAGGCAGATTAGACTAGATGGCTGTCTTTTGGCTCCAGTGTCACTCTGCCGTTCTCCTGAGTCAAGAATTAGGACCTCCTTAGGTGCAGGTGGCACCCACAGGGATAAATGACACCCACAGATGCCACAGGCAGTTTAGAAAGGGGCCGGGAGATAGCAGAAGGGATCCAGAAGGAAGAAGAGGGCTAGGAAAGCAGCAAAAGAGGACAGAGGGAATGAGAGATACCGGTAAGATCCCCCCATAAGGGCCCCAAGACAGCCTTCAAAGGCACCTGAGAGCCTCCTGTCCCTCACTCAGAAGATGCTGCCCCTGCAAATGTCCCACCACCCAGCCAACTGCCTGGGGCTCAGTCCAGATCCAGGGACAATCTCAGCATATCATAGCTGACCCCAGTTTTTCCTTGGACAGCCTCTGCCCCACCTTAGGAAAGCTGTCCTGCCTCATGGGGCCCTATGTTTTGTCACCAGGAAACGTCCCGATGTTGTGACGGTGACCGAATGGAAGGCGCCGGTCGTGTGGGAAGGCACTTACAACAAAGCCATCTTAGAAAATTATTACGCCAGACAGAAAATTACCGTGGGTCTAACGGTCTTTGCTGTCGGAAGGTAAGTGTCCCTAATAAAGTCGACCTCCGTCTTTTCTTGTTTCATTGTCCAGATGTTTGTGAGGGGCCCCCTGGGCTTACGGAGCGCTTCCTGCCTTGTCTGAATTATTAAATAGGAGAATGTTAGAACAGGACCGTTTTAGTCTTGTTTCTGCTGAGGCTCCCAAAAGGCTGACAGAGCAAAACAATAGTAGGTGAGTCGACTCCTTCCCACCTCAAAGTGAGGGTCCCGGGTTGCAGGTAAAAATGTCTGCTACACCCACCGAGCCTAGAGTCCGCAGTCCACCCACAACAACCTCCTTCCTGACCTCCATGGCTTTCTCTGGAAGTTCCAAAAATGGCAGCTGTGGGCCCAAACACGTGTCACTCTTTGCCCTACACTCTCAAGCCCAGGACCGAGGACTGAAGGATCTACAGCAAGCTCTGGATCCAGACTGACCCAACAGGGGTGGTTCTCCACGTTGGAACATGGCTGACCGCTCTTCCTTGGGTTCCTCGGGCCTTCCTTGGCTCCCGGAGATTCAGCCAGCCAGAGCTTCCTCTTCCAGATGTTGGGGAGGTTCCCGATTCAGATTCCATTTCCTCGTTTAGAACCCCCCTTCCAAAGCTGCAATCATTCTTACTCGAAATTAGTAGCCGTAATATTAGTTTTAAAGTGTAACCCATTTTGCTCTCTTGGAGAGTTTCTGCGGGTTTGTTTCCCCCAAACAAAAGCAAGAGTTCGATTTGCCTCTTCCCCCACCCCCGCTGTGAGCCTTTCCTCCGGTTCCTCTCCTGGAAACCACACGGGAAGTTGATCCCTCGGCCTGTACAAAGAGTGTCAAAGGCCTCGGCTGATCTGAGCTTGGGCTCTGCCCACTGTAGGGCCTGAAGGAGAGCTCCGTGAAGCTCCTGAGACCTCCAACCCAGAGGCCAGAAGCCACTGCTGTTGCAATACTAATCAGGTACGGTGACCTGGTTAGTCACCTGGGCGGCATCTCTAATAGAGACAGCTGACTCTGGCGTTTTGACATTTTCCTCGGGAGAATCTGTACCGTTCTGAGTCAGGAGGCGATACTCAGCTCACCTAAGCCCGCGACACGAATGTGGTAGAGGGATTCGATGCGGGTGTTCCCAAAAAGCACAGAACACTCCACAATGGCTTCACCGTCCAGTTTGCGACTCTGCAGAACCAAGCCGTAAATCGCATATCCTGGAGAAAGCCCTATTTGTAAATCCCGTATCCTGGGGAAAGCCCTATGCTCTCAGCTGTGAGGCATGAGAGGTACTCAGCAGCAATAAATCCTCACAAGAGTGGATCTGGACTTTTAGGAGGTGTGATGTTTGGTTTGTTTTCAAGTAACAATGCAGGAAGCCAACAGCAGTGTTTTAATCCCTAAACAATGTTAAACCTCCAGGGGCTCCCTCCCTTGCCCCTGGATTGTCTCCGAAGCTTCAGAACACAATAGATTTTTCTTAAAGTTCCAGAGTGCCCAAGAATTTCCTGGCAACCGGCCACAGAGCCGTGTTAAACTCCCTGTTTGTACTGCTCAGATCTCTTCTTTCCATTTAAATGAATCAGTACCGTAAACTCTCGGGCTTCTAGAGGGCGGCATTAAAAGCACACTTTATTTTGGTAGTAAAGAAAGGAAATCCAGGCAGCAACCAAAAAGCAAAACAGTGCCGGTTATAATGGCTCACAAAACATCTTGATTGGCTGCTGGCATGATCCGCAAATTAAAGTCAGTCCACATTCACTGAGCTGGGCCTGAGTCTGGGGTCTGCATGAGTCGCGTTAAGCTGTCTGACTACTACTGTGTAGCCTGGGTCGCGGGAGACACCAACACGATGTGTCTTGAATGAATACATACATAGCTAAAACATCGCCACCCACCCATTAGAATGGCCCAAATCCAAAACACTGACAATGCCAAATGCTGGCAAGGGTGTGGAGCGACAGAGACGCTCATTCATTACTGGTAGGAACGTAAAGCGGTGCAAACCATTTGGAAGATGGTTTGGCAGATTCTTACAAAACTAAACATTAATGGTACCACGCAGTCCAGCAAGGGCCCTCCTTGGTGTTCAGCCAAAGGAGTTGGAAACTTATGTCTACAAAACAACCCTATACACAGATGTTTATGGCAGCTTTATTCCTAATGGCCAAAACTTGCAGGCCACCAAGACGTCCTTCGGTAGGTGAGTGGATAAATAAACTGTAACATCTAGAATATTATCAGTGCTAAAAAGAAATAAGCTATCAAGCCAGGCAAAGATATGAAGGAACCTTGAATGCGTGTTACTTAGTGACAGAAACCAATCTAAAGGGGCTGTATACTGTATGGTTCCAACTCTGTGACATTCTGGAAAAGGCAAAACTCTGGAGACAGTGAAAGATCAGTAGTTGCCGGGGGTGGATGAACAGGCAGCACACAATATTTTTAGGGCAGTGAAAATACTCCATATAATACCATACACAGTGACGGATACATGGCACTGTACGTTTGTCCAAATCCATGGAATGTACAACACCAAGAATGGATCTTAGTGTAAACCAGGAGGTGATAAGGACATGTCAGTGTAGGCTCATGGATTGCAAGGCACGTATCACCCTGATGCTAGATATTGATAGTGGGGGGGAAGCCATGGAGTGGGGGCAGGGAAGGTACATGGGAACTTTCTGTGCTTTCAGCTCAGTTTTGCTGTGAACCTAAAAATGCTCCAAGAAATAAAATGTATTGTGAAAAACAAGGAAAAGATAGTTAAACCAAGCTTAAGTCAGGGGTTGTTTGCTCTGGTGTTTGGATGAGTCTTACGATGGTGGTGTCTTAACAGTGGATTGGCGTTTGGGGTGAGCAGTGGGAGGCTCACGGGGTGAATATGTAATATGGAGGGATATCCCCGTCCCATAACCCATTCTCTGGGTCCCAGAGGAGGATATAAGAATGGTGATGGTTAGGCTTAATACATCCCCAAAGGACCCAGATGTCACTCTTGCATCTGGTAGGGCAGGAGCAACGTTGGGTATAGTTTGAGGGAGAAGTGGTGTCCCCTGCTGTTGGGCAGAGGATACACAAATTTCCAGTTATAAGATGAGTAAGTTCGAGGGATCTGGTGTATATCCTGGTGATTATAGCTAATAAAACTGTATTATACACTTGAAAGTTGTTAAGAGAAAACCGTATTATACACTTGAAAGTTGTTAAGAGAATAGACCTCCAGTGTTCTCACCACAAAAAAGAGACGGTAGTTATGTGACACAATGGAGGTATCAGCTAAGGCTATAGTGGTAATCATTGCGTAAGATATAAGCATGTCAGATCAACACTTTGGACGCCCGACACTCCCACGTTGCTCTATGTCAATTCCACCTCAGTAAAGCTGGGGGAAAAATAACTAGCACCCACTCTGCCTGCCCCCAGTCTGGCCCAACTGATAAACAAGGCAAAAGGCTAAATAAGGTAGATGATAGTGAGCATCACCTTTATCACAGTTAAAGCTGGTGCCGGGGAAAGTGGCTTCTATTTGCAGACCCTAGGTCTCCTGCTACTGAATCACGGAATCTGAAAGATTAGGTACCCAGGCTTCCAGATGTGGAGTAGGGCCTGTCTCACTAGGGCTCACTTTAAGGCCCCGAGCTGTTCGGAGCACAGACTCTCCCCACCTGCTGGTGGCCATTTCCAAGAGGCAGAGTGGTGGGGGCAGGGCTGCAGAGGCCCCGTCACTCTTCCAAAATCAGCAGGTAAGTCACTCCTCTTCCCCAAAGTGGAGCGAATGAATGGTGGAAGGCAGCCAGGAATGTTACACTATCAGATGTGGAAAACACATGTCTGGGAGAGGGGAAACCATTCCTCCCCTAAACTGCAAAACAAAACAAAACAAAACAAAACGATGATTAGAATAGCACGCAGCCTCCTGTACAAATCCCAGTGGTTAAATTTGTCCCCTTCTCCTTTGTTTCAGATACATTGAGCATTACTTGGAGGAGTTCTTAATATCTGCTAATAGGTACTTCATGGTTGGCCACAAAGTCATATTTTACATCATGGTGGACGATGTCTCCAAGATGCCCTTGATAGAGCTGGGTCCTCTGCGTTCCTTCAAAGTGTTTGAGATCAAGCCTGAGAAGAGGTGGCAGGACATCAGCATGATGCGCATGAAGATCATCGGGGAGCACATTGTGGCCCACATCCAGCATGAGGTGGACTTCCTCTTCTGCATGGACGTGGACCAGGTCTTCCAAGATAGCTTTGGAGTGGAGACCCTGGGCCAGTCGGTGGCTCAGCTACAGGCCTGGTGGTACAAGGCAGATCCTGACGAGTTTACCTATGAGAGGCGGAAGGAATCCGCAGCATACATTCCGTTCGGCGAGGGAGATTTTTATTACCACGCTGCCATTTTTGGAGGAACGCCCACTCAGGTCCTAAACATCACCCAGGAGTGCTTCAAGGGAATTCTCCAGGACAAGAAAAATGACATAGAAGCCGAGTGGCATGATGAAAGCCACCTAAATAAGTATTTCCTTCTCAACAAACCCACTAAAATTTTATCCCCAGAATATTGTTGGGATTATCATATAGGCTTGCCTTCAGATATTAAGATTGTCAAGATATCTTGGCAGACGAAAGAGTATAATTTGGTTAGAAATAATGTCTGATTTTAAATTGTGCCGGTAGGTTTCTGAATTTGAGAGAGTAGTATTCTGGCTACTTCCTCAGAAAAGTAACACTTAATTTTAACTTTTAAACAATACTAACAAACCGCCAACTTCTCTTCTTCCTGGTAACTTTGAACCTTGCATTATGGGAGGATGAAACCTACAGGAATCAGATGTAAATTCCCAGTGATTTCTGATCTCTTCTGGGTTTGGGGGAAATACTATCAACTGGACCAAACGCTCACCAAAAAATTGACACAGGCAAAGAAAAAGCCAGAAACACTCTACATGTGCCAGATAATGTACTGGAGAAAAGGGTGCTAAGGGAAGTGTTTGGCAGCAAGATACGATTGTGGGGGGAGGGGGTCATCCCCTTGACTTCAGTGTCTCTGCTGAGTCCCAAGCATCATCCAGTTGCTTGGCGACAGAAGAACTCTGAGTAAGGGCACGGTCCACCTTGGCAATCCTCACATGGTTTCACTGGCAGACTGCTTCAGGCCATTTGCCACCCGTGTTCTTTTCCCATCGGGAAAATGTTGTTTGGCTCCCGTGCAGAATCTTCCTGGTGGAGATTCCCAAGGGAGACCATGGTGGCGCGTGTTTGGAGTCACGGGGAATCTGAATGAGCCAGTGGTTGCTCAGCATGGAGTGAAAACAGACTCAGAGTTGAGTTTGCCATGGAAAAGCAAAGAGAGTGGAAAAAAGAGGAGGCTGATATCTGTGGGCCACCTCGGAGGGGCCCAGGGCACGGGGCTGGTCCTTAAACACAGCACGGATCCGGGCGCTGAGGGGGGGGCAGGGTGGGTAGTCTCTGGCTTCCTCAGACCCGCGACGACCAGCACTGCGGGGACTTGAGTGGAAGATGTTTCTTGTTTTGCCCAAGGCGCATTCGGTCCGCCAGACTCCGGTCTTCGGTTCCTTGGCCGGAGAAGTGGATGGTGTCAGAGAAGGCAACGGCCCGCAGTGGACTGAAGAGGCTTGCAAGGAGTTACGTTTCCCAAACCCGGGCTTCATGACAATAAGTCATCAACATGCCCTGCTGCCACCTGCTCTAACCCTCAGGGTCCCCGCAGCCCGTCACGCCCCAACCTGGAGGGCTGACATCAAGGAGTTTGGAAAGCCCTCGGGTCAAGTAACTTTTCGTTTTCCCCTGCCCTGTCTGCACTACTGAAGTGTGACAACCAGATACATTTAATAAAATGGCTAATTGATTTTATATCGAAAGCAGAGGGGATGGCGGTGAGAGACCCAGTCCTCATGAATGAACAGCTTAACATACAATTCCCTTCTCTAAGAGAAGCTATGGAATCCTACGCATTACTTCAAGTTGAGCAATTCGACGTACAGGAGTTAGGAGGCAGCATTTACATATGCAGGTGTATTTATAGTTTGCTCGTGTTCCAGTTTTGGTCATTTGTTTCCACTTTTAAGTGATTTATTTGAAGAGCCACCGCACTTGGTGTTCAGCACAATGGGCTTATTTGATACAGTGAAACCTACATTTTTTTCTACCATGTCACTGTGCCTCCTACTCTTCAATCCGTGCCAGAAAATCTCACAACCCAGCAAAATGAAGCAAAACCAACAACGACAACAACAACAAAAATTCTGAAGAAATGGGCTTTGTAAAAGAAAACGGGAGACCGCATGTCAGGACGCTGCCTCTCCAGAACTGACCTTTCCTGGGATCCATCCATTCTGGAGTAGAGACAGTTAAGCATTTAAATCCTAAACCAAAGAAATGATCTCTCTTAAAAGATTAGGGAAGAGGGTTGATGTTTACTTTTGAGGGAATCTGGATATTTTTTTTACTCATTTAAATTTAAATCCCCAAACAAACTCCAGATCTCATTGATAGTTATTCTTAAACATTAAAAAAAAAAATAAAATTCACAATTCACAATTGAATAAATTATTTTCTCAATAGATCCTGGTCTGGTCATGGATTGTGCATTTTCTCCCAAAGATGTTCAGGATCGTCAGTTGTAACATTTTAAATTCTTGGACTCCAAAAAGTCCTGATGTCCTCTTAAAAATGTGTTCACTATTACAAAGATAGAACATGGTTGAGAGTCCCAAGCTTTCAAAACAATAAGTGCTTATGGAGAGCTTTCCAAAGTGGTGCATTGAAATAATTAACTGCCAGTGGAGGAACCAGAAAGAAAAAGGCTTGCCCCTCAACCCCAGGGTGGGGCGCCAGCACAGAGGGAGAAAACAATGTCATAACTACATCTGGGGATTATTAGTCCTGACCTCTGGGGAATATATGTGGCCAAGGAGGCTCTGGAAAAAGGCTGGATCTCCAGCAAAGTCAGGGCGGGTGTATTTGTAATAAATGGAAAGATGAAAACCGACCAGACTGATGTAGTGTGGCACACTGGATATACAACAGGGCATCATTCCCTCATTGGAGAGAATTATTTTCATTTTATAGATAAGCAGAGTGATATTCAGCAAGGTTAGCCACCCAGCTAGCAAATGACTGAGCTGAAGCTCAAACCAGAGAAGCTGGCAAGGATAAATGTGTTAACATACACATACGAAGGGCTGCGTGTGTTTCATATCAAGGAAAATGCAACTTTATTTGTTTTTTAGTTTATTTATTTTGAGAGAGAGAGCACAAGTCGGGGAGGAACAGAGAGAGAAGGGGAGAGAGAGAATCCCAAGCAGGCTTCACGCTGTCAGCACCAGACCCCGACTCGGGGCTCGAACCTACGAACCACGAGACCATGACCTGAGCCGAAATCAATAGCAGCCTAACCGACTGAGCCACTCAGACGTCCCGGAAGATGCAACTTTATAGAAGTATCTTATAAAGGGGCATTTTTCCATAAGAATATTTTAAAAATTAGGTGTGTAAGGGGCACCTGGGTGGCTCAGTCGGTTAAGCATCCAACTTCTGCTCAGGTCATGATCTGGTGGTTCGTGGGTTCAAGCCCTGTGTCAGGCTCTGTGCTGGCAGCTAAGAGCCTGGAGCCTGCTTCGGATTCCGTGTCTCCCTCTCTCTCTGCCCCTTCCCCACTTGTTCTCTCTCTCTCTATCTCTCTCTCCCTCTCCCTCTCAAAAATAAATAAACATTAAAAAAATGTTTTTAATAAAAACTAAGTGTGTCCCCAAGCCTGTTGTACTATTTCCCACTTTTTCTGCATGAAACCTCCCCAAATGCATTAAATTATTTAAAATGGATCATATAAAAAATAAATAAATAAAAGACTGTGATCATTCTCTTTAAAAAATAAAACATTTTTCTTTTTAAATTTTATTTTGAGAGAGAGAGAGAGAGAGAGAACTAGCAGGGAAGGGGCAGAGAAGGAGAGAGAGAATTCCCAATAGACTCCGTACAGGCAGCGCAGAGCCCAAAGCAGGGCTCAAACTTACGAACTGTGAGATCAGGCCTGAGCTGAAATCAAGTTGGATGCTTAACCAACTGAGCCACCCAGGCGCCCCTGTGATAATTCTTATCTTTACTTTGTGCATGCAGGGCTGATGCAATCCCTGTGGACACACACTGAGCTGTTGTGCCAAGGCAGTGCCTTGGAGGGCATGATTGGGCAGAGGGGGCAGGTGGAAGGGACAGCCATGCCTCCTCCTTCCACTCCTTCTCTAACCTGGGGGCCCCATGCAGCTGGAAGGGGACAGGTTTCTTCAAGCCCTGAAGAGCCTCACTTCTCTTATCCTTGGAATGACACCATCTTTGATGCCTCCCAGCCAAAGTCACCATGTGATTTACTGATAAGGGAATCATAGTTATGGCAATACTTACAGTTAACAAGTATTTATTAAATGCACTATTTGTTAAATGTACCTTACATAAATGAATATGCATAAATGAACACAGGCACAATAGCAAACCAACAGGGGTGAAGCCTCATAGAAAGTGAATGCGTAACATGCGATGTATACTTTTTAAGGAGAGAAAGCAGAGTTAAGTGAGGATCCAGCCGTCAAAGCCTCAGATCTGTAAGGACACAGACTAGGATTCAAACCCAGGACTGTCTAAAGCCTTTGCTCTTTCCACAGCTCCCATCTGCTTCCCCCACTCTCTCTTTCATGTATGTGCATGCAAACATACACACACACACACACACACACACACACACATTTTACTATCTTGTTTTTGAAACTGGAGGACACCAAAGGAATCACCACCAAAAGCTCTCAATTCCTTTATGAGGCATTCAAGAGAGAATTTAGTAGACCAAAAACTCTTAGAATGCAGGTCTAAAGCCATCATAGAGCCAAGCTGGAGAAGCAGACGAATGATACATGAGCAATACAGGGCCCAGGGAAGCATGGGGAAAGGGAGGAGGAGACTGCGTCAGAGGGGCTGACTCTGAACTGAGCTTTGAGAGAAGAGAAGGGGGTGACTGAGGAGTGGAGATGGAATGGGTTCCGGGGGGAAGAGCAGCAGATGTGAAGCGCAGAGGACTACCAGCAGACCTTCTCGGAGACCCACACAGATGGTGCCGGGGCCTTGGTACTGGACGAAATCACCTGGTAGAGCCTGCGTGGAAAGTCGTAAAGAACATGTGAGCACTTTGGCTGGATGAGGACTCCACATATGTGTAGCATTTGTGGCTCTCTTTCTCCCCTGCCAGCAATGCCTGGGCTCCTTTATGGAGTCTCCATGATTTCTATGGAGCAAAGGATCCAGACTAAGCCGATCAGCACTTCCCATGCCCTTGGTGGCAGTGGTTGATTCAGTGGTGGGCAGGGGACCCAAATTGGTCCAATGAAAGCGAATCTCAGGTTCTCTTGGGAAATGAGGACACATGTTGTATTGGGAGCTTGACCGCAGGGAGGTCAGAGTTAGGATGAAATGGACAATAGGACACGAGAAACAGGGACGCTGAAGGAAATGCAGTCCTTGATGACAACCTGAGTTCCCGGCTCCAACCTTACCTGAAGCCTGCACTGCTTGTGGGCTTTTCAAATGTGTGAGTCCCATTATTAAGTCAGATGGAAATGGGCTTTCTCTTGTAACTGAAGATATCCCCGTTGAACCCTTCTAGAATTGTTAGCTGCTTAAAGCAGGTCCATAGTTTGCCTTTGCATCAGTTCCAGCCCTTATTACATCACCTACCTCAGAGACATCACTTAATGCATAGCTAATGAATGAATGAATGAATGAATGAATCATCACACCCACTCCCATCATGCCTAATAAGAAATGATTGTTTTTAATTTAAAAATTTTAAATTTTGATTGTAGACTCTATGTCCTACCACAAAGCAGATGCTTTCACATCTGGCAGCTGGAACTTTCCATCCTGTATGTCGTACACAGTATGGGGACCTGTGCTTCGGGCTCTAACCTGGGGCCATAACCTGCTAGGTTCAGTGCTGCTTAAGTTCAGTGCTGCTGGGTTAAATTGGGTTCATCAATGTGGAGCAGTGGTTCTCAACCATGATGATTTTATTTTATTTTATTTTATTTTATTTTATTTTATTTTATTTTTTAATGTCTATTTATTTTGGAGAGACAGAGTACAAGCAGGGAAGAGGCAGAGAGAGAAGCTAGACACAGAATCAGAAGCAGGCTCCAGGCTTTGAGCTATCAACACAGAGCCCAACATGGGGCCTGAACTCACGAACAGCGAGATCATGACCTGAGCCAAAGTCAGATGCTTAACCTACCGAGTCACTCAGGCACCTCTCAGCCAGAAACCAGGATCATTTTACAGGACCACCATCCCCCCTGCCCTGACCCCAGGGATGTTTGGCAATGTCGAAGATATCGTTGGTTAACTTGGGGGCTGGGGATGCTATTCATATTTAGTGGGTAGAGGCCAGGGATGTTGCTAAACCTCCTACAATGCACAGGACAGCCCCCCGCCCCCCCCGCACACACACCCAATAATTATCTGGCTCAAAATGTCAATAGTGACAAGGTTGAGAAACCATGGTGTAAAATTTCCTTTGGACTTCATTAACTAAGAAACACTGGGGAGTCACTATGCACAATACCTAATGGCCTATACCCTAGGAATAGTCCCTGATGAGTGTCAAGAGCCTCTAACTCACCTCTTCTTACTCCTGTAGCATTTCACAGCTAAGACAGAAGTAGTTCTGTATACTGGACACTGGAGGGCAGGAATTTCCAAAGTTAACACTTAGCCTAAGCTACTGCAGCCATTAAAAACATTCGAGGGCGGCTGGCTGGCTCAGTCAGTTGAGCTTCCAAATCCAAATCTTGGCTCAGGTCATGATCCCAGGGTTATGGGATCAAGCCCCGTATGGAGCCCCACATCTAGCCCTGCAGTGGGCTCCGTGGAGCCTGTTTGGGATTCTCTTTCTCCCTCTTTCTCTGTCCCTTCTCTGCTCACGTTCTCTTTCAAAATAAATAAATAAACTTTCAAAAAAAAAACACACCACATTCCTCTCTAGATATGGTGAAGACTGCACAATTGTAGAAAAAGATATGAATAAATGAAAATAGCTAAAAACATCTAAAGAATGTGCCTGTGAAAAACCAGCCAAAATCAGAAGATACTTTGAGTGAATTGACTAACTGTTCAGAATGAAACGTGGTTATGCTAGCTAGGTATTTTAGGGAAAAGTATTTTTATTGCAAGGAACAGACATCCCCCTGAGCTGTCTAAATCTGAAAGGGAGATTTGGGGGAGGTTATTTTTTGGTAGGGAAAGTTCCACTGAATACAAGAAAGAGTTGGCCACTGTGGCAATACCTCCTTGCCCCCCAACTCCCTGTGTGGTAACCTCACCGTGGGAGCTTGGTATGGGCCCCAGTGGGCATGTTTATACCATGGGGGTCAACAAACATTGCAGGCTTCTTGTTTCTTTTGCTTCGTCTTCCATTTTTCTCTTTTAGGAGTTGGTTGTATAAAAATTTCCTGGCCCATCACTACAACCAGGCCATGAGCAAGAGCCAGGGAAGTTCGAAGAGCTTCAACAGCTAAAACTTGTGAACTTTCCCTAGGGATCTGTCAGCATAGCTTGGCCCCCCACTATTTCCAGACTCAGGGTTTCTTCCTTCAAAACTTCAAATTCCTGGGGCACCTGGGTGGCTCAGTCGGTTGAGCGTCCGACTTCAGCTTGGGTCGTGATCACGAGGTTCGCGGGTTCGATCCCTGCATGGGGCTCACTGCTGTCAGTGCAGAGCCTGCTTTGGATCCTCTGTCCCCCCCTTTCTCTGCCCCTCCCCCCACTGGTGCTTTCTGTCTCAAAAATAAATAAAACATTAAAAAAAAACCCCAACCTTTAAATTCCTGGAAAAGAAAACCCAAACAGCACAGCATCGACCCTGCTCCCAGCGGCTGTGGATCACACTGCAGGGCAGTTCGAAGGACATATTGTTGTGAGCTGGGTAGGTGCCTCTCCAAGTGTCTCCCACAT